CTAGAGCCTTGGTTCTCTTTCATCTGTAAAGCCAGATGAATACCACAAGCCTAGCAGGGCTGGTAGCAGGGCTGCCACCTAGTAGGTACACAACAAGTTCGTCTTTACCACCTCCTCCAACCAACTGACCCTGTCTTTGAAACATTGAGGAATCAGAAGTCCAGGTGAAATGAAAAGAGAAGGACCAATCAACATCTACCACGGTTGATTGTGTGCCAAGCTCCGCACTCCTCCAGAGTCATTAATCTTGCCAATCCTCTGGCAAGATCTACAGGAACAGACCTGGTTCACGGCTGAGGAACTAAGGACTCAAGGGTAAAGTGAGTTAGTATGTCTAAGGCAGATCTCTAGACTCATGAGCAGCTGTCCAGAGGTGCTGGGGATGCCAGCATGGCCCGGCCTGGACCAAACACAGGTGAAGGGCAGTGGTGCAGCCTCCTCTAGACCACTGGTGTGTGTGAGGGGGAAGGTGATCAGCCCCGGATGTGCATTATCAGTGTGCGAAGGTGCACAGGGGAGGCTGTGATGGAGTGGGTCTGAGTGTGACAGCGAAGGCCATGTTTTAGATGCAAAGCAGTTCCAGATGTCTCCCTGGCCAGGTCAGGGGCTGGGAAAAAGGTCTCAGCCTGCCAGGTAGGGATTCTAAGTCTCTCACCAGCTTCATAAGCCCAGGCATATCATCTCACTTCTCCATGCCCTGCCTATGGGGGATGAGCCTATCACCCACCTTCCTGTTATGAGGGGTCAGGGAGTGGATGGGAAAGTGGCCAGGACCTTCGTGGGGCTGCCTGTCCAGAGCGGAACCATGACAATGTGTTTCCCTAGGTCTCTGAGCTTCTCTGAGCACAGTGTGCAGGACCATGTACCTTGGCACTAAGCCTGAGGACCAGAGGATCCCCAAGCACCACACGGTCTGGTGGGCAGGACAATACAACTCCTAGCGCTCCAAACCCCAAACCCTGCCTACCAGGCCCAGACCCCTAGCCCGAGGCATACTACTGCCTGCCTGTCTCAGCCCCTCCCACCTGCTCTGCCCTTGCTTGCCCCTGTCCAGGCCACACTGCCCCCCACTCAATAGCTCAGAGGCACCAAGCCCCATCCCAAGCCTTGGAGCCTACAAGTGAATGCCATTCCCTCTGCCTGGAATACCCTTCCAGCCCTTCCTCTGGCTGTCTCCTTCTCAGCTGCTAGGTTTCTATTCAGTTGTCACCAGCTCAGAGAGCCCTCCCCTGACCTCTCTCATTATTCTCTCACAGTTCCCTGAGAGTTTAATGTCAGCAGTGCCACTTAATAGCTGTGTGACCTTGGGCAAGTTACTTAACCTCTCTGTCTCCATTTCGGCTTCAACACGGGCATAGTAACGTTATCTACTCCACAGAGTTGTTATAAAGAATAAACAAGTTAATGCATGCTTGGCATGCAGGGAGCACTTATATGGCATTTACGCTCATCATTATTACTGTTCATGGCACTTAGCACAGATTTGGATCGTGTATTTACTGGACTACTTTCTCACTGTGTCTCCTTCATTAGCTGTGAGCACCACACAGCAGCCTGGGTTCATCCCAGAGTACTTAGTACCTGCCATGTGCAAATCCCTGTGGAGGGAACAAGCAAAATTAGTATCACATCCTGAGGAGATGCCATTAATTCTGGGAGCAGGCAGGCAGGATGCGGATGGATAGGGGAAACGATGGCTGAGCTGGGTTTTGCAGGATGAAGAAGAGTCCTCCAGACAGACTACAAACACTAAAGGCATCTGTCCATGGCTGAGACCAGGGTTCACATGCAGCTCCTGAACAGGCTGAAGCTAAGTGGCTAAGTGTCTGAGTCCTGCCTCTTCCTCCAGGAAACCTTCTGGGACCACTTCAGCACCCTTCTCCCATAGTCACTCATTCACTCACAAGTTTTTGCACTCACACTGTATCATAGGCGTGCCGTTTCATTCCTGTGGGTGTCCCTCCTCTACCACAAAGCAGGGCTCTCAAGGCAGACAGGCCCCTGCCTTTTGCTGTCAGGACCAACCTCAAGATGGTGCACAAACCCTTCCCAAAAGTCCAAACTGTCAAGGCTGGTGGAGGCCTCAGAGAACACTCAGAGAGGGGGAGCACATGGCCCAAGGTTACATATGAGCAATGGGGTAAAGATAAGATTCTAATCCAGGGGTGGCCAAATGCCATGCCTGAAACCTCCTCACACTCTGTACTAGACCCTCAATGAGGCTGAGCAGCTGGGCTGGGGAGAACCTCCAGCTGTCCTCAGGTTCAAGGTGAAGCAGTGGGATCCCCGTCAGGAGTCGGCACCAATTCCTGTTGCTCTTTCCGATCTTCCACCGCCTGTTAGCAACACTACCAGGGTGCAGGGCCTTCCAAGGAGAATGGGGATCAACAGCTCTATCACCTCTCCCAGAGTAAATAAAGTTCTCAGGAGGTGACCTTGACCTGGCTAAAACGGAAGCTGAGCAGAGGTTGCCAGTCTCCCACTAGGGTACCAGCAGATCACTACCAGCCCAGGAGCGTGGGACTCAGGGCCCAGTACAGACAGGCACCCTGGATGGGGAAGGGGAGGGTCTCCACTGAGAGAGGCAAGGGCTGAGACAGGACAGTAGGACCTTTCCAGCACCCAGCAGCCAGGCAATCAGAGCTCCCCCGCCACACCTTGTGCCCTCAGCTTGGCAGGCTTACCACCTCACTCACTCATTTACATGTTCCAAGGGCTTGCTGGGTGCCCAGGGGCAGGTAAGAGCCAGAACCATCTAACTCCAAAAGATTCACTGTCCACAGTGCCTGGGATGCTGACAAGGGCCTCCAAACCCTGTGAAGCAGGGCTGTGGGCTATCTGTGTGCCCCTTTCCATTCCCAGTTAACCTGGCTTTCTGTGTCCCCAGTGAAGAGAGTTTGGTGGGGTTTTTTTATTTGCTTGCTTTTCATTAAAAACTATATATATATAGTTGGTCAATATATGTATATATATTGCTTTTTATGGTTTTATGCTTTAAAGATTTTATTTATTTATTTATTTGACAGAGAGAGAGAGAAGCACACAAGCAGGGGAAGAGGCAGAAAGAGAAGCAGGGGAAGAGGCAGAAAGAGAAGCAGGATCCCTGCTGAGCAGGGAGCCCAACCCAGGGCTGAATCCCAGGACCCTGAGATCATGACACAAGCCAAAGGCAGATGCTTAACCGAGTGAGCCACTCAGGTGCCCCTATATATAAATAGTTATCTCTGTAAAATGATGATAATGATACATCCTTTCCCCACAACCTTCTCCTCAATTATTGATGGGGATCAATGGGGAGAAATCATGAAGGGCACAAGAGAAGACACAGCCCCATCTGGAATATGTTGTCTGCCCCATGCTCAGGAGATGGGGAGCAGGAGGCCCTGTGGCTCAGATCCCACCCTTGGCCTCACTGAGAAGCTCCGGTGCCCAACCATTCATTCATTAGGCATTGCTGGGGTTCTGACCATGCCCAGGCCATCTGCTGGGCACAGCAAGAGCAGCCTCCTGGAACTCCCTGGTGGAAGAGATAGACATACACATCAGGGGGAGACAGAGCTAACACAGAGGCTCCCTGTGCCCTGGGAAGTCTGGGAAGGCTTTCTAGAGGAGTCAGCATCTGAGCTGAGATCTAAGGGCTCAGAGGTAACTCTCCAGGGGGTGGGGGAGGAGGTGGGAGACTAGGTGCCACCCGAGCAGAAAGCACAGTAGGGACCGCAGTGAAGAGGGAAGAACCAAGGTGGTATACCAAGGCAGTGGCAAGCAGTTCGGTTCAGCTGCCACACTGAATGCATAGAGGTGGGGAGGGTGGAATGAGGAGGGAGAAGCAGGCAGAAGCAGGTTTTCAAGATCTTTCTGTGTCAGTCAAGGAACACGGATGTTACACTGAAGGCAGCTGGCTGAGCAGGTGTGGAATAAGCACATTTACCTATTAGAAGCATCCCTCAGTGGAGGGAGATTGGACAGGTGGGATGCAGAATCGGAGAAGCCTGGAGAAGGTGCTTTGGCCAGTGGAGAGGGTGCTGAGGTCTAAGCTGGGTGGCACTCAGGCAGATGGAGGGGTGGATAGGTAAGAAATGTATTTGCCCCTGCCCCCTTTATTTTATTATTTTTTAAGGTTTTATTTATTTATTCACCAGAGACACACAGAAAGACAGAGACATAGGCAGAGGGAGAAACAGGTTCCCTGCAAGAAGCCCAATGTGGGATTTGATCCCAGGACCCCGGGATCACGCCCTGAGCTGAAGGCAGATGCTCAACTGAGCCACCCAGGCATCCCATCCCTGCCCCCCTAAAAAGGCGTTTCCTGACAACGTCCTCAGAGGACAGCCCCCTCTGTGCCCAGCACAACCTTTGCCAGTCTGTCCTGAACCCTTGTCCTCTTCACCAGATCAAAGGCTCCTGCCAGGTGGGTGATGAGCACTTGCCTCCGTCCCATGCCTCAGCATCTAATCTCAACTCCAAAGTCCCTGGTGAGACATCCCAGGGAAATGTGGGCACCCTGCAGACACCTTTCCAACGCCCATGCCTGGTCCTGAGCACCCGAGAGAGGTAACCTCCCAGAGGCTCCCAGAGCTCGTCCTGCCACACTTGCACTCTCCCTCTTACACACACCCCGACCCTGTAGCTCCTTTCAGCACCACGGCCTCTGAGCCCCAAACCCTATCCAGCCCCGAACCCCACAGAGGCATGGGCTCGGATATCCAGCAGAAGCCACACACGCAGGACACGGCTGGGACAGACACACAGCCCCGAAATAGCATTCCAGACAAGGAACTTCCCCGCAGGCCCCCCTCCCCCAAGCCCTTGGGGCAGCTCATGGCCCCAGGCTGGTTTGGGGATTGCTGCTCACGGTAAACCAGCCCAGGACAGAGAAGATACAGAACTTCTGACTTAGAATGGAAATTCCAATTCTCTTTCGGGATCTCCAGCCCCCAGCACCCCCACGCCCTCACCCCCACCCCGTGGGCCACCCCGCAACCCCCAGCCCGCCCGCATACCCTGCGCAGGTGATTTCCCACATTCTGGATCATCGTGGCTGAGACCCCGCCAACCCGTGGCGCCGCTGGCAGCACCCTGTGAGAGCCGCGGGCCACCTGAGCAGCAGCCCGCTCCGCCTCCAGATGAAGCCCGCGGCCTCTCCTCCCTCCCGCTCCTCCTCCTCCCCCCACTCCTCCTCCCCCTCCTGCTCCTCCTCCTCCCGAGCCCCCGCCCCTCCCAGCCCAGCAGTTATCACTCAGGCCTGCCTCTCCCCAGACTGCCCTCTGCCTGCCTTTTCCCAGAGCACCCCACTCCCAGGCTCCTGTGCCTGCCTGCTGGAGACAAGGAAAGAGGCCACCAACTGGGCCCCAGCCACATCAGGAGGCCGGGTACCCGCTTTATCCCTAGCCACAGCCAAACTTGGTCACCCCCACTTCCAGCCCCTGACAGCCTTCTCACAGGGTCTCCTGGCTCTGGGGTCTTTCCCAGGGGCCAGGAGTTTCCACCTCACGGCCCCCAGCCAGTTAGACTGGCAAAGGTCACCGGCTTCTATCTGTCCACCAGGGCTTGGGCTGGAGGGGGCAGGAAGCCAGGGAGCTGCCAGCAGCCTGCCAGGGACAAATCAGGCCCACCTGCTAGGACTCTTCACCCTTGGGAGGGCAGCCCCCAAGTGCAGCCCAGTGGGGCTGTGGCCAGGGCCAGGGCACACCCCCTCCCTCCTTCAAATAAGCAATGTGACTTCTTAAAGTGACATCTGTCAAATCCCACCTCATTAGCTCCACAGGCTTGGGCCCTGTGGACACCCACCCTAGGCACTCTGTAGCCACTCCCGATGGAGAGACTGCCTTGATTCTCTCTTGTCCCTCTCACTTCTGCAAGAGGCTTAATGAGGGGGCCTTGACACTCACATTGGACTTTTCATGATGGAGCATGGTTGCTCCACCTTGGTGGTTCAGAGAAGAAGGCAGGGGAGAGCCAGGCAGGGGAGCTGGAGTGGACAAATGGTCAGGAGTGATAAAAAGCACCACACAATAACCTAGCTCCTACTGTGTCCAAGGCCTCTCCTGGTCCTCGCTCCAACCCCCCAGAAGGTAACCTTGGGAAGGGTAGGTGACACAGCCCAAGGGCACAGCCACTGAGTGCAAAGCCATGTTGGAACACAGGTCACCCCCTCTGAGGCCTCTGCCCTTCACTGCCTCTAGCTCACGCCCCACACCTAAGGTCTCCCCCTGGGCCTAAGACACCTGGCTTCTGGGCCTGAGTCTCTCACTAATGTGCCCTGTAACTCTGAGCAAATTCCCTCTTGTCTCTGAGCCTCCCTGTTCTGGGAGTCAAGGGCTCTAATGCCCATCCCTATGAGCTCCAGCCTTTCCCTTAAAGAGCTCATGGGTCTGTCGGCAGGCAGTTCAGTGTCAACAAATGAGAAATTAAAGTCACACCTTACAGACAGCAAGACAGTCCAAGGATGGCACTGAGGGCTGGGGCAATCTAGGAGGCTTCCTGAAGGAGGTAGTGCTTTCTGGCCTGAAGACTGAATGGGCTGAGAAAAGGGGTGAGGTGGAAGGGCTAACAGGGAACAGAACTGGATATAATAATAGGCAGTAAGGATCCTCATCTTGCAGAGAAAAGCTGGGAATCTGTCGAGCACGGCCTTGAATGCCAGGCAACTGGGCCGAGGAAGCCTCTAAGAATGAAGAACAGGCCCCACATGCTAAAAAGCCATGTGAAATGAACAGGACAGGAATCATGAGACCTCGACTGGGAAGGGACAGCTCATCTCACTGTACCCGGGCGGGCAGCCAGAGCAATTTCAGGGCTTCACTGCGCAGATGAGGGAATGAGACCTAGAAGCTTCTGGTCCCCAACCTACTCTCTTACCAGGGCTTCACGATTCGCAGATTCACTGGACTCTGTCTAATCCCCCTGTTTTACAGAGGGATACACTGAAGCCCAGGGATGAAAAGTGAGCCACCTGAAGTCTGTGAGGAAGCTGTCTGGACTCCTCATTCCTAACCTCAAGCCTATGGCCTTGTCCACCTCACCCCACAACAAGCCACAAAGTAAGAGAGGCTTCAGTGAGACTTACAAGAGGACTCCCAGCAAGGTTGAATCAGTACACTGTCAGGAACAAGCAACAGAGAGCCACATCCCTCTGCAGAGGGCTCTCTCCTCTCTACTCTTCACTATAGAACTAACTCGCATCTCTTCGGCAGTTCTGTTCAGCCTCTGATTCCAGTGAGTATTTCATGGGTATCTGCCTCCCCTCCCCAACTCGCCTGGGAGCCCCCCCAAGGACCGACACCACATCTTACTCATCTCCATGCCCTCTCACCGTCAGCCCCCAGACCGGAGCCCTAGGCGTAGGAAACACGTAGCACACCTGGATGGATCACAGGACACCTGGATGGATCACGGTCCTGGAAAGGTGGATAGAGAGAAGGTTTTAAGCAAGAGTGAGGTCCCCAAACGTCAGCCTGCATCAGCATCACGCAAAGAGCTTTAAAAAAAAATATTTTATTTATTCATGAGAGACACAAAAAGAGAGAGAAAGAGGCAGAGACACAGGCAGAGGGAGAAGCAGGCTCCATGCAGGGAGCCTGACATGGGACTGGATCCTGGGCCTCCAGGATCACACCCCGGGCTAAAGGCAGCGCTAAACCGCTGAGCCACTGGGGCTGCAAAGGGCTTTTTATTCAGATTGCTGGGGCAGCCCGGGTGACTCAGCGGTTTAGCACCACCTTCAGCCCAGGGCGTGATCCTGAGGTCCCGGGATCGAGTTCCGCGTCAGGTTCCCTGCATGGAGCCTGCTCTGCCTCTCTCTCTGTGTCTCTCATAAAAAAATAAAATCTTAAAAAAAAATAAAATTCAGACTACTGAAAGCAAAAGCTCCAGGAGAGCCCAAGAATTTGTATTGCTAGTAAGATCCCATGAATTGCTGGTGCTGCTGGTGCTGCTGGTCCAGAGACCACCCTGTCAGAGCCAGTGAGCTGGGTCAGCCCTCCCACTTCACAGGTGGAGAGAACGAGACCCAGAGGCTGTTGAGGCGGACTTTGACTGACCATCTCTCTCACCACCACCGTCACTGTCATTATAGATTTTCCCACACGCCCAGCCCTGTGCAAGCACCTCAGATATGGTACCACCTTTGGGCCTCATCCTTGGAGGAAGGTACTATGATTATCATTCTCCTACAGAGGAAAACTGGAAGCAAAGAGTCATTTGTCTTAAGTCATGTGATTGATAAGAGTTAGCATAAGGACTTGAACCCTGATCTAAGTCCAGAGCCCACAGGTGTAAGCAGCACTCTGTGCAGCCTTCTTACAGCTTATGCAGACCAAGGACTTCTCTAGAGGTGCCTGAACCCTGTAGGCTCACTGCTAGTGTGGGATGAGCTTGTGGTGTCTGTAGTGCAAAGGCCTGGTCCTCAAGTGCACCTCTGGGGAGTCCCATGTCTCAAGAAAGCCTGCCTCTTAAGCCCCAGGACCCCAGGTATTTTCTCCGGCAAGCACTTCGTTTCCCATGTGACATCCTTTCTCTGGCCCCACAGATGGGGCCCTCCTGGCTGGAAGACACATGTTTAAATTCATTCTTCAGGCCCACGTCCCAACTCTGCAACCCCACTCGGTGACAAAACACAGAGAAGTAACCTCCATCTATATGCCACAGGGATAGTAGGTTGCCACTGTCTGCCATGGGGGGTCTGTCTCCCCCATCAGAGTGGGAACTCACACGGACAAGGAGTTCATCTGAGTCATCTGAGTCCATAGCATGGGGTGTGCCCAGGACAAGTGTTTAGTGACTGAGTGATAGGAAGGAAGGAAGGAAGGAAGGAAGGAAGGAAGGAAGGAAGGAGAGAAGGGGTATAGGGTCAAATGAGGGTATGAATAAGTGAGTACATAACCAAACTCCCAGGAATTCCCTCTGCTGGGCTTTTTAGCCTTTCCAGATAGGACCACAACCTGGGCCAGAACTTGTAACTCTCCCTCACTCCACACACACACCTACTATCGCAGCCTCCACTTACATACCTCCAGGATAGAAGGACTCACTCCATCTAAGGCTGACTGAACAGTTGAGGTCTAGGGATCCCTGGGTGGCGCAGCGGTTTGGCGCCTGCCTTTGGCCCAGGGCGCGATCCTGGAGACCCGGGATCGAGTCCCACGTCGGGCTTCCAGTGTATGGAGCCTGCTTCTCCCTCTGCCTGTGTCTCTGCCTCTCTTTCTCTCTCTCTGTGACTATCATAAATAAATAAAAAAAAAAAAAAAAAAAAAAACAGTTGAGGTCTAATTGCCACCCAGGTCTTGCCATTACCCCATGACCATGACTCTGGGTCACCCAGGACAAGGCTGCTCCCCTGGTCTATGACAGAAGGCCCAGAGATGGGAGCACATGTCCTGTCCTCTGCCCCATCTAGACTTATTTCTTCCAATCATCTCTAGCCATGGACAGAGCTTCCTCCTGTGTCCTCACACTGGGGTTTCCTTTGTTCCTGCTGTTCCCTCCACCCCGGTGTCCTCTGATAGCTCTACCTCCCAACCCTGTCCCCCATCAAAGCCTGGGTCAAATGGCATCACCTCCAGGAAGTCTTCTGTGCCCCTCCTGAGTGGGGCTTCCATAGTCTTCCTCAGTCCCCTCTGTCCCCGCCCCCCCCACAAACACACACACACACATTTCACGGCCCTTCATTGCTGTCTCATGCTACTTTTTCTCTTCAATTGAGCTATTTGTGCTAATTTATCTTTCTTGACCTTGAACGGTTGGCAGCAGGGATGGAGCTGATTCATCAGAGTATCCTGTCCCCCGCCTCCCCATGCAAACACTCAGGGCTTTGAACATAGTAGATGCTCATTAAGTGTCCTGAGAGGAAAGGAAGGGGGTATTGAATGGGAAAGAGCAAGGGAAGGGGTGAGTGAGTGAATGGAAGTAAATGCGTGTGTACATCAATAATCAAATGAATGAATGAATGAATGAATGTTATCATCTCCTGTTTTCCAAGCTGAAGACTCCAGTTCCTTGGTGGGGGGGGGGGGAGGCAGGGGATCCCTTGGGCTGGGTATGGCAGAACAAAGGAAGTTGTGGGATAAATGGGAAGGGGGATAGGATGCAGGAATGAGGTAGTGATACCAGCAAGACAGGAAGTAGA